AGTGAGAGAGAGAGAGGGATGGGGGGAAGGGGCAGTTTGCGCCCAGTGATTCATCCGGCTTTTGCCCTCTTCGCGTCCCTCATTTCTTCATCCCTTCCCTCTCTCTCTCTCGCTCTCTCTCTCGCTCTCTCTTTCCCGCGCGCGACTTACATTACAACCCCCTGACTCTCTCTTCGTCTCTCTCCGCCTCCGCGGTGGATGATCCCGCCGAGTTGTTAAGTAAAGTTTGCTTTCACTTGACGCCCCCCCCCCTCCTACCTCCTCGCGGCCCCTGCCTGGCCGAGGCTTTTGGCTTTTCCTCCCCTGGTCGCCGCCGCACTGTGCGCGCAGCCCCGGCTGATGTATGGTGTTTTGCTCCTTTGTAGTGAATTGGGTGATTTTTCTGTGGCCGTCCTCTGCGATGCAGTGCCGAGTTATCGTCCGCTATTTGTTGGGTGTGCGGTGACACCCCGGGAGAGGGGGAGGGGGCCGGCACTCCCGCCCCCCAACCCCCCTGCCTTCTGACTGCGCGCCTGCCCCTACTTCCCTACTCACCCCCTCTTCCCCTAACCTGCCGGACCGCCGGGCCGACCAGTCCGGACGGACCCAAGATAAAACCGGCATGTTAGCAGACGCAACCACTTTGTGCTGAACGGGGTACGAAACGTTCCGAGTAGCGTCCCGCCGGGGCCGCCTGTAGAGGGAACAGGGGGCAGGGTGGGGCGGGGCACCGCAGCAGGTCAGCGCGCTCCTCCAATGGCGTAGCAGGGAAGGGGTTGAGCTGCAAGAGCTTAGAGAATAGATGAGGTCGCGAGTTTCGCTCACTCTCTCTCGGTTCGGACTTTGCCACTGCTGCTGTCTGCTGCTGTCTGCTCTGCTGCTGTCTCTCTCCGTACCTATTCCTGGTCCGAGGTGTTGTGGAGAGCGCATTTGCGAGGTGCTCGTTTGCCCCCTTCCCCTCCCTTTCTCTCGCTTTGGCGCCGCCCGGACTATGCATTTTCAGTCGGACTATCTGCTCCGTGTGACCCCAATCCCCCCAGCAGCCTCCTCCTCCTGCTCCGGGCCTGACCGGTCGGACAAATAAACACGATACTGAGCGTCTAGACGGATATTTGCGCAGGCGCCTTGATTGCATATTGCAGCACCAGATACGGCCGTTGGGTCGGCCGGCCCGCCGCGGTCTGCTCTGCGCAACCCCATCCCCTTGCTGCGAGCCAGCCACTCGGCCAAGGCACTCGCTTCTCCAGCCAGCGACTGGAGAGAGCACCGGGGCTTGAGATCAGCGAGGCGGGCGGGATGAGGCTAAAATGCATTGATAAGCTGCGTGCATTCATTTCTTTCTTATTTTTGCCTTGTGTTTTCGTCGGGCGAAAAACAGGGCCGCTCTGTTGTACTGTCTGCTGGGGCATCTACCTAGCGAGAGAAGCAGAGGCTAGTAGCTACCAGCCAGCGCAAGTCCCCGCGGGGCTCCCTTCCTGCTCCCCTCCGCCCCCGCTCTCCCACCTCAGACAGCCGCAGCAGCGCCACCGGGTCAACTAGCAAAGCAGGTAGCGGCGGGGGTAGTAGCTCGCTGCGCGGAGGAGGAGCGCGCGGCGCCGCCGGGGGCCTTCGGGTCTGTGCAAAATTCAGGGCGTAGTTTTACTGGGCTGAATAATTTGCGAGTGTGGTCTCACCCCTCCTCTTCCTCCTCCTCCACCCGGTGCTGCTGTTTGAGGTGAGGCGAACAGGCCACTCTCCAATTGGGAAGCGAGTGAAAAATAAGGGGGCTGCGCGCCTCGAGAAGAGCGCCCTCTCTCCATCCCTTTCACCCCCCCTGCCTCGTTCCGGCTCGAGATGCGATAGTTGGCGGGGCGGAGCGGGGAGAGGCAAGTGTTGCGTGCGTGAGGCACTCCAGCGCGAGGGGGCCGGCCCCGCAGGGGAGAGGCGGGAGGGGGCAGACTTATATGAGTGTGTGTTTCGCACTTACGTTGGGTTTCATGGCCGTGATCTGTGTGGGCCCGTGAGCCTGCCTGCTGTAAAGGGGAAAGGGCTGAAACGGAGCGAAACGGCCGGCGTGGCCGTTCATTTTGGCCTCGAAGAGGTGCGTGCGCCACTGCGCCTCTCTCTCTCTCTCTCTCTCTCTCTCTCTCTCTCTCTCTCTCTCTCGCTCTCGTCCCCCTCTCCTTTCCTCTTCCCTTCCTTCCCCCAAACTCTCCCTCTACGCTCTCCCGCCCCCCTCCTGCTCCTTTATCGGAGTGGACGCGTTACATCCGACGACGATAAAAGTGGTCCTGGAACTGGAGCAGGATGGGGTGGATAGGATATGTGTTACTTTCAGTTGCCGGACGGAATGACGTTACATTACAAACCGACTCACATAAAAGCCAACTCTTTTCCCCGCCGCGCGGAGCGGGCTCGAAAAACGGTTTCGTATCGTTGCGCCTATTTCCTCTGTGTATGGTGTTTTGTTTCTCGGCGCGCTCGGGGGGGCTCCAACTAGGGTGTGGCTGAGGGTTGTAAGTGGCACTACTTGACCCGCTGGAGGTAGAAGAAGCATGAGCTGCTCTGGGGGCTGCTGGAAGCGCGGGAGGATGCCTAGTCTGGGTCTTGCGGGGGCGGGGAGCCCTTGAAGACGCGCGGCGGCCCCGCCGAGCGAGAGGGAGGGAGGAAGGGAGTGCGCCGCGCTCCCCGCCGAGCGGCGCCGGGGCAAAAATTGAGATCCACGTGAAGTGGCTTTGTACAGCTACTCCAGTAATCCCTTACATCATGAGAAATACGCTTCCCTTCCGAGAGCTCCTCCGGGGCGCGGCGCGGCGGGCGCGCGGTGCGGGGCGGTGCGGGGCTCAGGCCGCGCTTCGTCTCTATTATTTGGCGGTTGGAACACTTGGCACACTTGTGGCAGGGCGCCCCCCTTGCGCCTCGGGGGGGCGTGGCGCGCTACACACATCACCACCACCACCACCACCACGGCGAGCCTCCGCGCCTGAGGAGCAAGAGAGGAGCCCAGTGGGTGCCTAGCCGTGGGTTTTATGAAGTGCTCTCTTCTTCGCCCTTCCTCATATCCTCCACCACACTCTCTCTCTCTCTTTCTTTCATCATAGTGTATATCTCTCTCTCGCTCTCTCCCTCTCCTTCATACACACCTCCCCGTGTATGCGCGAGCAAATAAGGCCGCCCTTGCATATCAAAGTGACGACAGCGATGCTCGCGCTCAGCCCCGCCGCCGCCCCCTGTGTAATCGCACGCGTGTGCTCCGCTTTTAATGAAGTCTACCCGAGTCTACCCTTTCGGCTCGGCTGTGCTCGGCTGTGCTCGGCTCGGCTCGGCCCGCCCCCGCCTGGTACCCGAGTGATACCGACCGGCATGATCGCGGCGCGCGTTGGCGCGCATAATATGGGGGCTACGCGTGTGGCGCGGAGGCGGCGGCGTCGCTCTTGTCGAACGCAAACAATCGTAAAACGGCGCATTTTTGGTGGGCGTGCGGTGCGGCGTGGCGTGGCGGTGGTATGATGGCGTGATTGGCATTCGCCGCGTTCGAGTGTGTGTATGTGTGTGTGTTCTCCTTTTACCTGCGGGGGGACTATGGTTGGTGGTGGCAATGGGGGGGAGTGCAGCGCGGAGCGAGAGTGAATGTGGCGTATAGGCATAGCGTGCATTTGCAAGGCCGTAACTCGCTACAGTGGCGGGATTTACGGCGAGTGACAGAGAGGGAGATAGAGGCAGCGAGTGGAAGGGAGGAGGGGGCGTGAAGGTCCTGCCTGTGCTGCTCTGCTCACTGGGACGTCATCTCCTCTTTCTATTTTACGCGGAGAAGGAAGGGGGCGGAGAGGGGGTTGATACCCCGAGAAGGAAACTGCTTAAACGAGTCTCGCAAGAAGAAGAAGGAAAAAAAGGGGCGAGGGAGTAAAAAGAGAGAGAAAAGGCCAAAGTGTATCTTTTGGAGTTCGTTTTTGTGGACTCGGCCCTCATCTGCTTCTCATAGCCATTGGCTGGCCAATTAAATTAAAGGCGGCGGAGCGGGGCCGGAGATCATGTCGAGTGTGGCGACGCATCTCATCACCATCCCCCCCGCCCCCTTGTTAATATAAGAGCAGATTAATTAAAAGCGTTTGCGCCGAGTCGGCCTCGCGAGCACGCGAGTGAGTCGAGTGAAAATACTTTTTTTTTCCCTCCCGCGGAAACGAGAAGGAAAAGTTGTGTGTCGAGGGGACGACGGCGGCGTTTTGCAGCGTTTGTTGTCTCCACTTCGTTAGCGGCGGCAAAGCCCTTTCGCCTCAAATCCGCTAATGATTGGGTCGCTGAGTGGGGGTCGCCGCAAATCACTTCCAAGACGCCCCCCGTTCTGACCTGTTTTTCTTCCGCCCGCCCGGCTCGCTCGCTCGCTCCTCGTTCTCTCCCGCTTCTCGCGCGTGCTCTCTCCGGTTGGCTTTTGGAAATGACTTTGAAGTGAAATGACCTCCTCCTCCTCCTCCTCCTCCTCCTTCCTTCTCCTTGCAGTTCGGATGAATGGAGCCCCAATGCCGTGCGTCTCTCTGGACTCCCCCAGCAGCGCCGTCCTCGGGGGTCCGGCAGCGGCAGCTGCTGCTCCAAGGCGACCTCTTTACGAGTCGCACTTTTCCCCGCCGTGCGCCGTATGCCGGAAGAGTAAAAATGTTGCACGCCCCGGAGATGCTCGTCGGCGTCGTCGTGCGCCGCCGTCGTCCCATTTCGTGATTACTCCTCCGCCGGGGCCTTCCGCGCGCGAGCGCGCCAACTTTTGTGTGTCGGACTACTCGGAGGAGTACTTTGGCGCGAGGAGTACGACGTCCTGGACTCGAGGCGACTCTCTGCTGCAGCCGTCTGCCCTTTTCTTTTACTCTCTGCGCGCGCGCGCGCGCGCGCTCCTTTCCTTACCCTTCTCCTACCCCCCACCCTCTCCACCTCTGCCCCCAATTTATCCGCGCCCCCAGCGTCATATTCTTTTCTGCTCATAATGTCGCTCTCTTAATGTCGGACACGGTGCGCGAACTAAAAGTTTTCTTTTTCTGCTCCGTGTGTTCCAGGGGGCGCCCATCAGCTCCTCTCATATCTTCTTCGCCTGCTGGGCCAAGTCGAGTAGTGGGTGAGTTGCGCCCAACTTTCTCTGGTTTTTCTTTCCCCGAGACGATGAGAACAGGCGCTATGGCAGCAGGAGGGCAGCTGGCTGTGTCGCTGGCGGCGGCGCGGCGTGCGGTCAGCGCCCGGCGGGTAGGCAGCGCGAGGACTCGGGCGCGCGGCGGGCGCGGAGCTTGCCTACCTCCCGGGCGGCGGCGGCTGCGGGGCGAGGCTCTTGCGGCGGAGGACCAGGAATTCATAACGTGGTCCCACTCACGCTCTGGTCGTTACTCTGTGTAGCCAGGCCCGCCCACCTTACAGCTCCTCGTGCTCTTCAACCCCCGCCCCCTCTCCTCTCTCTTCCCCCTCCTGCCGGAGGTGAGCCGCTGTTGCTGCTGCTGCTGCTGCTGCTGCTCGGGTGTCTCCGCCGTGCCGTGGGCGCCCCGCGCCCCGTAGCGCCTGTTAGATTGCCAACCGAGGTTGTTTTGTTATTTATGAAGCAAGCAGCAGCAGCAGCAGCAGCTCGTCGTCTTTGGCGCGGTCATGATCGCCGCCTGCATTTTTAATGAGCCGAGATGTCCCATTTCACTCCTCCCCGTCGCCGTTCGGGCGCGCGCCACGGGAAATAATAACAGTAACGGTAATAAGTATAGCAGGCGGTGTGCTGCGGGGGAGGAGTGGGTGGGGGATTAGTCATTACACGCGTTTTCTTTTTCTCTCCTTGCCATCGTGGCAGGGATGGCCTTGTCGGAATATAACTTCCGCGTTGCTCCTGCCCGCGCGCGCCTCCTTGGCCCCCCCTTCTCCTCCCCGCAGCGCTTCTCCCTCCTTCGTGGACTGGAAATGAGCCACCTCTTTGCATGCATACGTAACGCCGCGCACTTGCTCCCTCCCTCCCTCCCTCTCACTCAAGCGGCGATGAGGAATCCTCTCGGAGGAGGTACTTGCAATGTCTTTAACGGGCCCGCGAAGGCGGATGTGACGAGAAGCTCGTGTTGTCGCCGTCTCTCTCCCTCCCACACGCACCCACCACAGCTGTTGTCTGCGCTCGCGCCTTTTCTATCTCCCTTTTCTTTTTCCTTCCCCACGTTTTGCCAGTCTGGCCGTCGCCAGTTCCGCCCCCCTCTTCCCCGCGCACCCCCCGGGTCGGTCCCAGTGGACTTAAAATGCGAATTACTTCCTATATCAGGAAATGTCACGATGTGTTGTATATATTTACCCCTCTGTCCCTGGCTTCTTATTCCCTATCGCTCCCACTCCCTCCCTCCCCGGGAGTGCCATCCTTTTTTCTCCCCCTGGCCCCGGGCCCGGGCCGCCACCTCACGCCGCCGCCGCCCTCTCCAACCATTCACGTTTTACCTTCCTCCCCCTCTGCTCCGCCCTGCTGCGCTGCTGGGAATCGACTGCAGACCGCGCCCCATACATTCTCAAATCCAGCAGCAGCAATCCACGATCGGGTTTATACATCAGGTGGAGTGCAACGGCCCAATTGGGCCGGAGTGCTCATACCTTGGCTTCAGGCTGTAATTACAAAACGCAAAAAATAAGTGCAAACAAAATATATCCTGCTCAAGACATGGTCATGACTACAAAGCTTATTTTTGCCAAGTTGAGTTTCTTCCTCCGCGCCGCTTCGCTTCTTTCTTTGCCACACGATCCTCCGGAAACAAATATGTTGCGAGTTGTTGGGGTGTGATTGTGATTGCTTCACAGACTTGGGACCCTGCTGGCTGTTGTGCCCGCTTTGAGCCGGCCTGAGCCGTCCTGAGCCTCTCCGGATCAATATTTTAGCGCAATAGTTCCTCTGGCCGGCTCTGCAGAGCCATGGCTGCAGCAGCAGCGGGGCCCGGCAGGGCAGGGCAGCCCGGCCGGTCGGCCTGAGGGAGGCGGAAAAAGAAGGGAGGCAGTCAGTAATAACGATAAGTCAGGAGGGTGGCGCGGCGTGGTGCTGCCAGTCATGCGTATGACCCCTTACCCTTGCCTGCCGGGGAGCAACCGGCGAGGCGGAGGGAAGGGAGGCCGAGCCAAGAATGCATTTTTTCTGCTTCATAACGTTTTGACTGAGTTGCATGAGAGGAGAGGAAGTGCTTGGGAGCAGGAGGTGCACACGAGGGGACAAACAAGCCAGGCAGGTTGTGGGTGTGCGTGCGTGTGTGGGTGAGAGAGAGCTAGGGTGAGTGAGAGCCCTATACCGTCATGCGTTTGATTCATTTTTACTGGATTTTTTTTCTGTGCACTTTGCCCTTTCTTTTTCTTCTCTTATTTACGGCGCGCACTACACCAACCACACTACTATTTACTATTCCCCCTTTTCCCCCTATTTTGATTTCTTTGCATATCCCTTCCCTTCTCCCTGAGGTAAAAGACGTGAATGGACAAAAGAAGAAAAAAAGCGCTGCGCGGTGATGGGTCTCTGAAAAGTCATCTTTCGAGGAAGGCGAGGGCCTCCGTAAAAGGCAAGCGGAAATAGGAGGTGGGGGTGGGGGCAGCCGATTGAGTGAATGCGTATGAAACAACAGATGACGCAGAGAGAGAGAGAGAGAGAGAGAGAGAGAGAGAGAGAGAGAGAG